ACTACGAAGTGGAATCGATATCGTCCGAGTCAACGTATGAAAACGAAGGCGATGTTGCTGTTAGACCGATCGACGAACCAACTACCCAATCAGTCGATGGCTTTGTCCAAACTACTTAGTTGCTTAATTCCATATCATGTGTTCAGGGTATATAAAAGAATAGATTAAGTCCGAGTAACCCCAGAGTAAAGATCGTCTGCTTTTCCCGGCACGGTGATTGGCTTCATGCCGTTGCGGGGGTGGTACTGTCGTTAGCGCCGAGATTGTCAGCTGCCTTCTCTTCGGTGTGATTCTCCCCGACGCTGAGATTGGAGCTTTCTTACACCTCTCCTGCCATCTTGCTATCTATCAGTAATTATTTCTCAGAATATAGGGGGTGATACTGGCATATCAAACAGCATTCGTACTGTGTTTAGGGGACAATGCTTCCACGTCACTTCACCGTCAGTGACCGGTCCATTGTTAACTTAGTGAAAATTGGCTGGCGATGCGACAACTTCCAGCTGAAACCCAGGCAACAAAATACAACAGCTATGGTACGTATTCAAATTTGCACAATATTTCCTCCCCGCTTACAACTCTCTTCAAAAGCACAGGACCGAGTTCACCTTACCACTAGACTGCGGCAATAATTCCTGTGGCTACTACACCCTACCCTCAAACATTCGAAGATAAGACAACAGTTAGTCGAGAACATATAAGACCTGATCCACTGGTACTATCAAATGAATTGGATAAACAAGGTACTGCAGTGAGCGTCTGGACGTTCTGTGCGGAAGCCCACATGCTCTTTCAATAATCCCTATCAATCATTGATGCTGTGGGCTCTCTAGGATGTCGTTACCCACAACAACTGACTCCATTCTACCCAAAGACCGGGAATGCCTGCACGATGCTGGCACTAGGTTAGGTCTTCTGAGGATATAGATGGTTCCGCTCGATACACCTCGACTAGTTCCCTCGAGATACTAAACTCATGCTACAGGCGACCCAGAGCATTTCCAGAATATTCCGTGATCTAACAGTCCTACATGCATGGAGAACCATGAGCTATGAGTCTCAAGCACTTCATGGCTTACTTTGCTCATGACCATGGTACTCCTGAGAAAAAGAGCCCTGCATGAGACAAAGACGACGTCTCGTGAAACCGAACAGGAACACACGCGATGGTCCTATCGTATATGGAGCCCATACTCTTGCCAGATTCATGTTTCAGAAGGCAATGTAACAAGCGGCTAGGATACACTTGAGTCCGCGTAGATGCTCTCTGTTCATTCTGAAGCCAAGACAGTCCCATACCGAGCAACATGTTGACGATCCACCCACCACCATTAGTATCTTGCCAGTACCCCATTAACTTGTCAATCATATATAACCCTTACAAAGACTGGAAATCGCAGCTGGAGAATCCTAGTCCCCATGATGGAATCATGTTCATTGCATTCGGCCGAGATGACTGACTGTTCTTCGGGTCGGGCGGGAAGCATCCAGTCGCCGACTGACTCACAGGAGTCGCCGAATACCATGCAAATTGACATCCAGACATTAAAGGATGAATTCAATATAATAAGAGAAAATTTTTTTTCTGTAATCCTTGAATCTACAAATAGCAATTTCAACACTGCCAGTACAAATCACAGCAGCTGTGTAGTCCAACCCAGCCGCAGCCTGAGGATTTCAAGCGATAAAGGTAGTATCCAAGACTCGGGCCAACAACATAATGACGGGACAAAATACCAATAACCCGTGCGAAGTCACCAAGCATGATACGGGTTGGCGAAGAGTAGTTCGTCATTTCACGCCGTCGTATGCATCCCTTGATCTCATTCCAAGTGCAATTGAATCTAACATGCATGTCTCGACAGTTGGTTTTCGGTTGCTATGGGCACGGGCATCGTGTCTATCCTACTCAACACCCTCCCTTACAATGGCCAGTGGCTATACTGGATTTCTGTCGTCTTATTTGCCTTCAATGTCCTGCTTTTCACCATAGGGTGTATAATCACCTTCCTTCGCTATACTCTGTATCCGGAAATCTTCTTCGCCATGATCAAGCATCCAGTCCAGTCCATGTTCATAGGAACGTTTCCTATGGGATTCGCGACTATCATCAATATGTTCTGCTTCGTCTGTGTTCCAGCCTGGGGTGACTGGACGCGGAACTTTGCCTGGGGTTTATGGATCTTTGATGCGATCTTTTCGGTCATCACTGCTCTCTCCCTACCCTTCTTACTGTGCGTCTGGCCCTGCGCAGAGACTATGAAGCAATAATAAGCTCGACTAACATAATTGCAGAATGGCCCATGGAACCGAAATGCAACTCTCGTCCATGACAGCCGTATGGCTCCTCCCTATCGTCAGCTGCATTGTCGCAGCTTCATCAGGGGCCATTGTAGCGGACGTGCTCCCCAATCCACAGCACGCTCTCTGGACCGTGCTCGTGAGCTACGTACTATGGGGCATCGGATTACCTCTTGCACTGATGGTTATGGTGATCTACCTACAGCGACTGACCCTCCACAAATTACCTCCTAAAGCGGTGATCGTGAGCGTGTTCCTTCCCCTGGGGCCTCTTGGTCAGGGCGGCTTCGGGTGAGTCTATACATCCCATCCCTGTATGATCACCACGTACTGAATAGTATACTACTAGTATAATGAAACTGGGCCAAGCGGCGCAGGAAATCTTTCCGAAGACACAGACCCTCGAAGCAGCATCCGGTCCGATCTTTTATACCCTGGGGTTCATGGTCGCTCTAATCCTCTGGTCCTTTGGCCTGGTCTGGCTATTCTTTGCCTTGGCATCTATTGCGAGGAGTAAGAGCTTCCCGTTCAATATTGGATGGTGGGGTTTCACTTTCCCCTTAGGAGTGTACGCCACGAGCACGTGCCAAATGGGCAAGGAGCTGCCGTCGGAGTTCTTCCGGGTGTTAGGAACGGTAAGTTTGACGTTCTTAGTTTTCCTCACCTTTCGCGATGTTGATATATGACAGATTCTTTCACTTTGCGTGGTGGTCTTATGGATTCTGGTGAGTATTGGGACGCTGCGGGGAGTGGTGTCAGGCCGGTTGTTCTTTGCGCCGTGTTTGGGGGATTTGGAGGCACGGGAAGACGAGAATAAAGATGGCACAAAGGCAGCTTGAGTTGAAGAAAGGGTTTAGTTACTTGGGGGCTCGAAGGGGAAAAGTTCTAGAATGGATGTAATTTTAATTGTTTCAGACTTGCACATCTTCTGAACACGGGGAAACTATAATGGTACCGTAATAGGTTGGTCCAGGAAGGGAAACAAAAATTGGGATCATGGATGTATGGACTGAATCATATGTAAAGTAGAAGTTGTGAGATACCACTGCTCTTTGGATTAAGCCAGTAAATCAGAGCACCCTGGGGAGGAACTGTCTGGAGACACTCGAGAGGGTGTGAAACGTCACAGAGGAAGCATCAAAAATGCAACAGCAACCCAGATCTCCGGAATCTTCGACTAAAAGTAAGCTTAAACATTAAGGGCAAATTATCATAGGTGGAATGCGGATTTTAGCTGTCGATGATGGGGGTTTTTAATTTTCGTTTTTTATTTTCGTGTTATTATTTTCCCTTTTGATTTTTTATTTTGTGGTGGGAAGGGGGTGGTGGAGGGGCGAGGAATTTTGGGTTATCTTAATTTTTTATTTTTACCTACTTTATTCGGCCCTGAATAGCATGGTTTTTTATTATTATGGGTGAATTTTTATTTTAATTTTCAATTATGATTTTTTTAATTTTCTTTTTAGTCTTCCACCCACACCCCCTCATTAAGTTACTTTGGTTTAGTTACGTAGGACTTGACTACCCTTTAGTGCAGAAATGTCAGGTACCCTGTGCTCTGTTTGTCCACCCGAATTCAATCTTTCTTTTCGAAAATAGGATTCTTGAGAGTCTTTCTCCATTCCCTCTATCTATCGAGTCAGTTAGTTGCTGACTGGAAAGCTGTTTTCTGCTGCATCACTAAGCAGTCGCCATGAGTGCCCGATGGGTGCCTTCCACACAAATAATAATGAACCCCGCCCGACCAGCCTGCTTGCGCACTGTGAGTGGCCAGCTGGCCGAGAAGTCACGTGTGCGCTCCCGGGGGGCAGAAAATAAAATCCAAAATTCGAAAATCCAAAAAGCCCAAAGCAAAAAATTAAAAAAATCGAAAATAAAAAATAAAAATAAATAATAACGAAAAAAGGAACGGAGTCCATCAAGATCCCAAACAAATCATCGCGCGCGACCATCTCACGACTTCAGGATCCATCCAGGCATCGCTTCCTGAGTGGTTTGAGGTCTCTTTTCCCGGCATTCACGGTCTTCTTTGCTCCTGTTTTCCTGGTCAACCTTGCATTGCCTGTCGGGCGCCCCCTCTAGCTGTCCCCCTGGGAATTTCGCCTCTCCCAACAATTGCGCTTCTGGTCGCTGTGGGTCCGCCGTATTACTCCCTCAGTCAGCAAAATTCAGTAAGTGTGGTGTGTGTTGATACCTCAGGCCGCACAAACTAGGCACCGAATCCCGCATTTTTGTCCCGTCTTGTCAGTCACGCTTTTTTTCTGATTCCGCTTTGGGGTGGGAATCCGACTCATTTTATTATTATTATTATTTCGTGTTATCCACCGCCGCAAAATCACAGCAGCAAAGCAAAGCAGCAGCAGCAGTAGCAAAGCAGCCGGTCGCACGGCTCTTCTTCAGTTTCAGAAATACGCGCCTCAGTGCGCGTCTTTTTCTGACTGCTGCTGCTCTTTGCACTGGAATTGGTGTTCCCTGCCTCGCTCTTTCTCTCTTTCTCACCCCCCAAGAGGAAGCGTGTCGTTCGTTTGGTGCAGACGCGGTGGTGGTCACATGCCCGCTATCTGAGTGTCCCTGACAATCAATCCATCTTCATCGGGGAAAACAAGGCAAAAAAAAATAATAAAAATAATAAAGGCCATTGAAAATACCCACCACGTCAGCCATTGAGTGATTTTCTTTTCACTTTCATCCTCGTCCCGTCAAGATGATGGGCTATAATGGGCATTCGTTTCATCAACAACGCCCGCCCCAGCAAAATGCTCATCCGCAGCACCAACAGCAGCACCATCTGCAGTCCCCGTCCATGACTGCCGCGGCTGCTGCTCATCCCCATCATGCTCCCGGTATGGCCAGTAATGGCGCCCTATTCCGGGGTCAATCGCAGGTGGAATTGGCGGCTCAGTCCCCAGATCTCCGCAAAATGACCCCATCCTCCACAGGCCCTGTAGTCGGCCTCCCCACGGGCGGCCATTATAGTCCGTTCTCCGGACATTACCCGCCACAGGGCTCGTCCGATCTGCTGTCTCGCAATGCCGACTCCGTTGGCCAGCTGAAAGATCCCTATCTATCCTTGCAAAGCCTGCAACGGAATATGAACCCCATGGCCAATTTCCGTACTCATCCCACGATGAATGCGCAGGCTGCCATGTCCCCGCATGCGCATGCGATGGGTCTTGCTTCTCCCCAGCAGTCTTTTGACCGACTGCAACAGCAACATCTTCAGCATCGACAGACGCCGCACACGCATCCCACGACGCAAACCTCTGCTGCGGCGTCGCCGATGCTGACCACCGCCCAGCCTCAGCATGCCTTCCCTCAGTCCGCGTATCAACAGACACAACAAGCGTCGCCGTACCAGCATACGCAGCAGCAATCCCCTTACCAGCAAGCTCAAGCATCGCCGTATCAAGCGCAGCAGGCCCAGTATCCGCAGGCCCAATATCCGCAGGCCCAGCATCAGGCTTCTCCCTATCAGGCTCAGGCTCAGCAGTCTCCTTACCAGCAACATGCCCATCAGACGTATCAGCAGCAGCAGGCACAGCAAGCTCAGCAGCAGGCACAGCAACAAGCTCAGCAGAAAGCTCAGCAGGCTCAACAACAAGCCCAGCAGGCTCAACAACAAGCCCAGCAACAGGCCCAGCAGAAAGCTCAGCAAGCCCAGCAGCAGGCTCAGCAACAGGCGCAACAACAGGCTCAGCAGCAAGCTCAACAGCAAGCACAGCAAAAGGCCCAGCAGCAGGCTCAGCAACAGGCGCAGCAACAAGCTCAACAGCAGGCTCAGCAACAGGCGCAACAGCAGGCTCAGCAGCAGGCTCAGCAGCAAGCAGCACAGCAGACCCAACAACCCGCTCATACTCAGGCCCAGCAGCAGCAAGCCCAGCAAACATACCAGCAACAACAGTCAAGGTTCCAGCAGCAGCAGGCTCAACGGTCGCCATACCAGCCTCAACCACAGCAGCTTCAGTTCCATCATGCATATCAGCGCCAATATCAACAGCCACAAGCGCAAACACAGGTACAAGCTCAACAGCCGCAGCCGCAGTCGCAGCAACAACAGCACCCCATTCTGCAGCAACATCCCCAGCAACAGCACCATCATGCCTTGCACCAGTCCCAAGCACAGCAGCATCCTTCTCTGTTGCAACAACATCAAGTACAGCAGCAGCAACCATCGCCTGCACAGGCAAAGGCACAACTTCAGCAGCAGTATCAACCACATGCTTCTGCGTCCGCTAGCATGTCTGGACCTGAGCTCCTTGCTCCAGCACAGGAGAAGCCTGAGAGTACTGGAACCAAGCAACGCAAGAAGCAGTCTAAGCCTTCTGCGTCCCCGGCTACGCCCGCTACACAGGCTACACAGGTCAATGGGCAAGCTCAAGCTGGATATCCGGCTCCTACTCCGGTCTCTGCTGCGGGCCCTACTCCCGCTCCCGCTCCAGTATCTGGTGTTGGTTCAGGCCCCACTTTCACTCCTGCTGGTACATCTAGTGCAGTCCAGGGACCTGCCACCGCAGGGGCTGCTCCTACAGCTGGCGCTGCTCCAACAAATACTGCCACGCCAACGCCGAAAAAGAGAGGTCGTCCAAGGAAGCCCGTTGTGCCAGGCGAAGAAAAGAAACCCAGGCCGAAAAAGCCAAAGAAGGCCCAGACGGTGACAACAACAGCACCCGATGGCACAACGATGGTGGTTCCAGCCCCCACAACTAATGCTGATGGTACACCTGCAGTTGCAGCTCCCGCTCCTGCGCCCGCACCACCACCGCAACCGATTATCGGTCCGGACGGGAATCCTATTCCCCAAAAGCGTCGTCGCGGGCGGCCTCGCAAGTCAGAACAAGGCAACGTGCCTCCCAAGCCTAGACCGCCAAAGAAGCCTTCGTCCAAGCCGGGCACTGGTCGGCCCCGCGGACGGCCACGCAAGGCTGATGTTGAAGCACGAAAGGCTGCTGAAGCGGCGGCGGCGGCCGCTGCTGCAGGTGGACAGCCTCAGGCTGATCAAAATCAAGCTGGAGCCCAGAGCCAGGCGCTACAGCAGCCACCGCACTCACAGGTTCAACCCCAGTCTTCGGTACAATCACAGGCGCAAAACCAGCCCCAATCCAAGCCGCAACCGGCACAGCCTTCACAACCATACCAGTCATTCCATCAATTCCAAGTCACTCCGCAGCAGCCTCAACAGATGCACGGTCAAATGGCAGGCCAGTCTAAGACGCAGTCTCACACAAATCAGATGCATACGTCCAGCCAGGCCCAATTTCAGGCACTCCAACATCAGTTCCAAGCGCAACCTCAACCTCACACCAATACCCAGGCCAACCAGCAACAGCAGACGCAACCGCAGTCGCAGTCCCGCTCCGGGCAAGCTGCGCAGCAGGTACAAGCACAAGCACAGCAGCCTAGACAAATGCAGGCTCAGAATCAAGCTCACACACCGGTTCAGCCTCAACCACGTCAAATACAAGCTCAGGCTCAGCCACAGCCTCAGGCCCGGTCAGTGCAGGCTCAACCCCAGCCCCAGGCTCAAGCGCAACCCCGTCAAATGCATCCTCAACCACAGACACAAGCGCAACAGCAGCCACAGCCACAGCCCCGTCAAATGCCAATCCCGGCCCAACCACATGCAGCAATGCATCACCAACTGCAGCCTCATCAGCTGCACGCCCAAGCGCAGGGTCATCCTCACCCTCATCATCCTCAGGCTCACCCCCATCCTCACGCCCAATTTCAGCTACATCCCCATCTCCATCCCCACGCACAACCGCAACATCCTGAGCCAATGACTCTGAATCCGCCGCAGAAGCGCGGTGCGCCTGTGGACGACGACCCGCGCAAGCGGGCCTTCATGATGCCCCAACAGATGTGATTCTTAGCTGAATCATACTTGCCTGCCTAGCTGCTTTGTTTTACCCTCTAGATATCACGAAAACGCACTGATGCCGTCCATCCAATTTTGTTACTTCCATGGTTTACTGTTTAATTCCTGGCTTTACCACCATCATCAATCAACATTATCATCTTTGTGGATGTTCTTCTGGCGAGCCTCTCTCCTCTTATCTGCCGATCAGTTTATTGTCTTGTTTGTCAAATAGCTTGTGCGCGTGTTGTCGGTTCCATTTCCATCATGATGATCGAGTAACCCAATAACCCCAATTCAGTTAGTCATGTTATGTTAAGCCCTTGCATCAGTTGTATGTGTCTTTGCAAATCGTTTGTGTTTTGTTACCTCGTTTATACTTTTCGTTTAAGCCCCTTGCAAGTAAGTTAAGTACAGGTACATGAAATGAAATAACAAGTACGTACATTAAGATTGACTCCAACAGCCACTGTAGATAAAGTAGTTATCTGTGCCCGGTTTGTTGCCTCGGTATTCCAATAGAACTGCCTGTTGAGACGTTCACTCTATCCAGGCATCACCTGATCCTCTGCCACCGCCTACTTGGTCTCTGACTACGATCATCACTTACACTGCCAACCACCCATTTCTTGTTTCCAACTTGCATGGATACCATGATCGGAGATCATCTAGACAGCTAGTCTGAATCAAGTAGTCACTAAAGCACAGCTGCGGGTCTCGTCACCTGACAGTGGGGGCTGGATTGTAAGTGACTTGTCATCACCTAGCGCTCATTGTCTGTTTCTTGTATCGTCGTCTGCTTCTACAATGACATCGATTGAAGTCGAGGGTCCAAACTCTGACTCCCAAGCTGGGACCAATGATGGTAGCATTCAATGTACCTTTGGTAAGACTAACAATCTCTAAGCCTGAAAATTATGTTCACTCTCCATAATAAGCTAAGCATAGCTGACAATGCATTCCATTAGAGCAGCGGTCAACCTCTCGAGACGAGAGAGTAACAAGGTTTATAGATCTGCTCAACACTTGCCCTTACGAGGACCGGAAAAACAGAAATGATAAACGAGTCCCCGGAACCTGTGAATGGTTCACAACGCATCCGAAATTCACCAATTGGCAACAGTGTTCAAGTCATGATCTCGCCGGTCTACTATGGGTCTCAGCTGATCCAGGTTGTGGCAAGTCAGTCTTAACAAAGTACCTGGTAGATGAGGTCCTTGTTGGCAATGAGCAGCAGACCGTGTGCTATTTCTTCTTTAAAGACGACTTCCCGGATCAAAGAAGTGCAGTTAGTGCACTGTCAGCTATCTTGTACCAGATCTTTCTTGCACAGCCTCAGCTTCTAGCAGATGAAGACGTAAACAGAGTGCATAATCATGGAGAAGAGCTTCTCCAGTCAATCCACACATTATGGGATATACTCATGTCTGTCTCTGCTCAGGCAACGGCGGGAGAAATTATTTGCGTTCTGGATGCATTGGATGAGTGTCGAGATCGGGATGCACTTATCGAAGCTGTCAACATGTTCTACCAAGAACACTACAAGGACCGGAAGTTGAAATTCTTGATAACAAGCAGACCGTATCCTCACATAGAGCATCTATTTCGGGAGCTGGAAACCGAACTACCGATAATTCATCTAAGTGGGAATGGCGAGGAAGAGGTCCAGCAAGTTTCCCGTGAAATTGACCTTGTTATCAGCAAAAGAGTGAGCGACATTGGTAAACAGAGATTATTAGACGATGATGAATGCAATCTGCTGGAACAAGTGCTGGCTGCGGTTGAGAATCGAACATACTTATGGGTCAGTCTCGCCTTGGACGCACTCGAAAATATGCCGGATTTCACAAAGGGAAAGATCCGACAGGCGGTACAGCATCTTCCTGCAACTGTTGACAGTGCCTACGAAAGAATCCTGGATCGGAGTTCTGATAAGGAGAAAGCCAAAGTTCTTCTGCATATGATTACAGCTACTGTACGCCCTTTCTCCTTGGAAGAGCTATCTTTTGCCTGGGCAATACACAGCAATCCGGATGACACGACTCTCAGTTCTATAAGTGATAACATGGAACCAAAGGAGACATTCAGAAAGACTTTGAGGGATTTGTGTGGACTTTTCGTGGTTGTTCTTGATGAGAAGATTTGTCTTCTGCATCAAACTGCGAAGGAATATTTGGTCCAGAGCACCAAATCCTCTGTAAATGATTGCACCTCTCGTGTCACAGGATGGAAAGGTGCACTCATACCAGAGGAATCGAATAGAATTCTTGCGCGCATATGCATCTCATGGCTACCAAGGATAACTGCCGCTCAACGGAATATCGAGCGAGGGGAATTCGATGAGTATTCCTCATGCCATTGGATTACCCACTACCACCAAGCACATGTACAAGATGGAAACATACTGATCATGCGCGCGCAGTCAGTCTGTGACCCAAGCTCTGGTGTGTATCCAGTATGGTCCAAGCTCTATAAATCGGAGGTAAACTATCTTCCCGGGGGCGATTCAAGCCTGCTCATCACATCATTCTTGGGCCTGAATGGTGTAGTGAAGCTTCTGCTTGCATCAGACTCTAAGGATGCAGATCGCCGGCCCCCCATGTCCTGGGCAAAGTCAACGATGGAGCATCTGCTTAGAACAAAAAGAGTGAATATAAACTCCAAGGATCCAGTGGAAGGCCTGACCCCGCTGTCCTGGGCATCCAAGAACGGCCATGAGGGTGTAGTGAAGCTTCTACTTGAGTCAAAGAAAACGGACATAAATTCCAAGGATTCAATATACCGCCGAACTGCGCTATTCTGGGCAGCCGAGGACGGCCATGAGACAATAATAAAGCTCCTGCTTGGAACAAAAAACATAAAATTGAATTCTAAGGATTCAAGCGGCCAAACTCCACTGTCTTGGGCAGCCAAGTGCGGCCATGAAGTATTAGTGAGGCTTCTACTTGAAACAAACAAGGTGAACATTAACTCTAAGGATGAACACAACCAGACCCCACTTTCCTTGGCAGCCAGTAATGGCCATGAGACAGTAGTAAAGCTTCTACTTGAGACAGGAAAAGTGGACATTGATTGTAAGGATTCATATAGCGCGACTCCTCTGTCATGGGCAGCTATGCATGGCCATGAGAAAGTTGTAAAACTTCTGCTTGACACAGGAAAGGTGGACGTTGACTATAAGGGTTCGGATGACCAGACTCCTCGGGAATGGGCAGCTATATATGGCCATGAGGAGGTTGTAAAGCTTCTCGAAAACTATTAATATCTACCTTTGTAAGAAATGGATCTGATCTATACGAAGACTCTCGGTATTATTGT